GTAAATAAATGTGGTATAAAATTGTGGTAAGAATAGCATTAGTCATTCAATTATGTTTTTGTACCATATTTTTATATTATCTTAGATGACATCTGATGTGGACAATCATATCATTTGAATTAATTAGATTATTAAATTTAGTTCATTATTTAATAAACTAATAATTAAGAAAAATTAATTAATTAAATGATGATTGTGGTATAAGATGAGTCTTTTTCCTTCATTTCTTGGGTTTTTCAAAATTTTCAAATGATGTGGCTATCCACATCAGATGCCATCTAAGATGATATAAAAATATGGTATAAAAACATGGTATGAATATTATTACTCGAATATTAAATTACAATGTCAACCTCGTACTAGGGTGTGTTTTTTTTTATTTTTTGAGCACATCAATATTTTTACATTAAGGGAAGGGGAAGTTCGACTAAGCTACATAATGGGCAGCCTAATTTGTATCGAATTTACTATCCATGAAATTCGAATTATGACCTCTTACTTTCAAGTGAAGAAGAATACCACTACATCGTAGTACTGAGTAGTTACTAGGGTGTATTTTGCTCACCTACATTAATTTTAGTGTATGTTTATTGGCCGCTATGTGTCCCATCTTCCGACACTTAGAACCTGTTTGTTACACTCGATAAGGGGAAGTATACTAGCTGGGACTATAACCCCACTGTTAGTGCGGCAAAGGATTATGTTAAATGAGACTAGCTCATATTCGTTTGTACTCCACTCCTCGCTAAGTACTCTTATTTAGTACAAACTTTCACTTGGTATTAGCTAGGACTACATCACTCCTCTTTCATCTTCCCCCAAAACCATCTCCACCGAGTAGAAGCCACCATAGCAGCTATTCTACGGTGACCCAGCCCCACCACCGCTTGAATCAGACTATCGCACATAGGACTAGATGAAGGAGAAAATTTAAATTACAAGATTAGTGATGGCGTTAAAATAAAAAATTGAAATCTGCGCATTTTTTAATTGAATTAATTAAAATAATGCATGGGAAGAAGTTTCTAGGAAAGTTTGAGGAAACTGAAAAGGGTAAAAAATATTAAAAAATGAATTTATTGAGTTTAAAAATATTATACTCTATAACCTGCATCAAACGCTTCATTATTTATACACTACTTAATTTAAGTAAAATCAGTTCAATTTAATCTATAAAATAAATTTAATCTGAAGTCCGATACAGCAATCGCATCCGTGAAATAATAACCTTGTAAAATTTACAAAGTATATGTCTAATCATTGCAGAATGGCAGAGAGATGTTGATCGGAAATGAAAACAAACGGTCACTACCATGGAAAACTTTAAACGGGAGGTGATTTGATTTAACGAAGAAAGCAATCATTCTAAACCTAAAACGTCCTTAGGACGGGCCCCACAAACCGAGGACTCAAAACCCGCTAAAACTTATGATCGTGTCCCGCGCGTATCTAGTATTTATATCCGTGGACCGTCACTGCAGCAGATTATATCTTTATCCCAAAAGTAATAGCTTTGAAAACGAGTCTCTTGGATTCTTCTGCTCCGTACAGTCATGGGCAACCTTGGTGTAGAAGGTTTTTGGTGTGCCTTGCACATGCGGGTTCCACAAGCTCCCTCTTTTAAGGAAAGCTCTGACCTTTTCTTTGGTGGGAATGAAGGTAGGATTAATTGTCCACTAAGTAACGTTGCATGTACAGCTTTAAACAATTCGTAGAGAGAATGTGTAAGTTCTTTACAAAAGTAAAGTCACTGAGCCGTCCAACCCGCCTAGCACTATCTAGACCGCTTTAAAACATTATGCACGAGATGGCGTAAAGGTAGTCTAGCCAGCATGCCGTCGAGGCGATAACTTGTAGTGGTATTGTATTAGCACGCCATGTGGGACACAACTCTTTGGTAGAATGCAAAACGGAGGTATTTGCGTTGGCCAATGGCATGAAAATATTGGATATAAAATTTTCCTATTGAGAAAGCTTAGGAACTCTCTTTCAAAAGTGGAACCTTTCATAAATCCTGATATCTCATATTTTTAGTACAAATATTTTGTAATATTGGTACGAGAATTGACGCTAACTATGAAATTTCATCGAGTTCATGAATAGTCGTATTTTTTAAAGAGTGACCAGAACATTTCTTTTTTCTTTTTACCAAATTAGCAGTGGGCCTCCAAGCATACCAAACCTCGTTGTCCTTATATGGTAGTCAAATTATGAATTTTTTAATGTTTTGGCAAAGTAGTGGATCGTTATCATTTGACCTAAATAGTAAAGTTAATTTTTCAAGCAAAAAACAAAAAACTATTTTTAATTTGAGAGCTTGTAACTTCAACTAATAAAACAAAACACGTTATCTTATTATCCGAACGTTCATGGTATTATGTTGTCTAGATGTTCACTTTGCCGCTCATTTACTTTGGTTGGTCGACTGATATGTTATCGCTCATTTCTTGACCTAAAATATCTAACAAATGATTTTGATCTTGACATTGACATGATTTTTTTTCTTTTACTATTAATAAAAGCATACAAGCTTAAATTTTAGATTTTAACTCACGTTTTATAAGCTATAGCCTAACTAATAGAGATTTCTTTACATTAATTTGATTAAAAAAGAGAAGTCGGACAACCAAAGCATTATTTGCACAAAGGAGTTAAAGTCATTGGACATCAATGTACAATAAGAGCAGAATTGAGTAAAACATTTATTTTTGTACTCAGTTACAATTCAACGTGTGTGTCTCGTTTGGTGTATATGATTTGAATAGATTTGATAATTCATCAAAGTCAATGTATGTGAAAATGAATGATTTTTAATTTTTAGTGGGATGCATGAGTTTCTAAATGAGTAATTCATTTTCGACCTTCAAGTATGACAAAAAAATTTCATGTATTTATTCATCATTCAAGTGAATTAATCATTCTAATCTAATCCTAAACACATAAAGCTACCTTAATTTTGGAGTTTTTATCATTAATATCATTACGGATAAGAAAAGAAAAGAGTAAATTTAAAAAGTCAAAGTACGGTGAAAGTGAATGATTTTTCATTTTGAAAGGGATGCATAAGTTTTTATTTTTTTTATTTTTTATTTTTTTATGAATATTTCATCTTCGTGATTTGAAATGAATAAATCATCTTCCATCTTTAAGTTTGACAAAACAATTTCATGCGTTTCTTCGACATTCTTGAGTACATAGTGAACTAAAATTTCTTAATTTTTGTTGCAATACTTTTAAAGAAATGTTAAGGAGACATTTTTAAAAGTAAAGCTCTCATATTTTTATCACAATATTTTACACCATTAACTTAAAAATCAGTATTAAACTGTGACATTACAAAAAGTTTATAAAATATTCCACTTTTAATTCTAAACATTTTTTACACTTTTAACAGCAGATAAGAAATGTTTAAAAATGTGTTGGAAATTGCATGGCAGCTTTCCTAGCTCCAATAAAAAGACAAAGACCAGCCGGCAGGTTGACGCCATTCGCTAAGCTATTCCATAGAAAATTGGATGACGTAGGCCATGTGATGTCAGAAAACGCATAGATTGGGACCATCTCCATATACCCATAAATTAAGGGAAAATTGTAACAAGGATGCTCATTGTCATATTTATTAACATTGGATAAATTTAAATTTAAAATTTAAATGTATATTTCAAAATTAGATTAATTAAACAGTTACGAATCGAGTAGTGTGTATCACCGTTATTTGAGAATGGTGAGTAAAAATATTTTCAAATAGAAATAGTAAAGAGTTTATCTTAGATAATATTTTGTAAATTATAAGCTAAGACCATTGATGATTGTATTACTTTATAATTTTTAAATATAAAATTTAATTATCAATCGATACATCATGTGACGTACAAAATATAATTAAAAATGTGATTTCTAAAATCACGCTAAGCCAAAATGAAAAGGTCGGGTCTACTGTCTTTTGTTTACTTTGGAACGAAGCTTCATGTCAAGCAACGTGTTTATGTTTCTCTACCAACATAAATAAGATTAGTAAATAACCAAAATAAAGAGTAAATTGTACCAATAGTCCCTCAACTTTAATCAAATTGGAGTAATGGTCCCTCAACTAAAAATTTATTATCATTGGTCCTTCAGCTCATCAAAATGTATAGCTATGGTCATTTTCGTTAACTTCGTTACAATTTTGTCAAAATAAGTTATGTTGGAATAACCATTGCTATAATTGGGATCCCTCAACTCATCAAAACGTGTAGCCTATGATCCTTTTCGTCAACTTCGTCAGAATTTTGTCAACATGAGTTATGTTGGAATGACTATTGCTATAATTGGGTTAAAGTTGAGGGACCATTGATTCAATTGGGTTAAAGTTGAAGGACCATTTCTCCAGGTAGATTAAAGTTGAGGGATCAATGGTAATGAATTTTTAGTTGAGGGATCATAGCTGCACGTTTTGATGAGTTGATGGACCAATGACAATGAATTTTTAGTTGAGAGAATAAAGATAAAATGAGAGTACTAACTGTAGTTTTCTTTGTAAATACAAATATTAGGTTATCTCTAGCCATGCCCAAATATGTGCAAAATACGTCTATAGCAAAAGGGTGGTACCCTAGTTCAGTAGGTAGGACTAGCTACAAGTAGTCCTCGGGTTCGCTACTTGTAGCTCTTGAGCGGGCTAAGTTTAGCCCTTCGACAAAATTTTTCTGGAGCCTACATGGACTTCCAATTTTTTTACTCTCGCTTTTATGGTTAGAGAGGGGAAAAATATAGCTAAGATTTCACAGTAAAAAAAAAATTATATTTTAGAGTGCCAAAACATAGGTCTCCACTCTTTGGCCTTCCAACTGTTGGCTTTTTTTTTTGGCAACATCTTGTGCAAATATTTATAAGAATCGTATTTGGTAATCAAATATAAATCAATCAATGCTAAGACCATGTTTGAGGCGTTCATTTTGCAACCCTTTAGTAAACTACACGGGTTAAATCGAAAATTTCAAGCTTTACAGACCAAAGAATTGAATCATAACACGTTCTCATTTTTATTGTTACAACGAAAACTCTTCACCTAACCTTAATCTCGACACATGACGAGGTTATTATGACAAAATCACTGCCAACTTCGATTTCTAAGTTGAACCAAAGTGTCCCCCGACCCTTCAAAAAGGGTTCAACTAAAGAAGTAAAATGCACTGGAATGCCAAATCTACATTTCAAAACTAAACACGAAATACAGTTATGTGGCATTATGAGTTAAATTGCTCGAGTCTAGCATCCTTGAATTATGAGCTCGTATCACCTGAAGATGTATATGTCAAGGGAAGGGATGAGGTTCCACCGCCTTATTTCTCTTCCAAGAGCAGTTTCGTGCACGAAAGAAGGGATGACGACTCCTCTTCCGTAGCCAATCCAGTGCCTTGCCATCTTATTCTACCAAATTTGTCGAGCAGGAATATATACCTATTAAGAGGAAACATTAACAAGATGCAACTTGTCAAAAAAATTATACTATAGCAACAATTCACAGAACCATTAAATTCAATGGCAATAGAAAGCTTTCGTACCCGGTCAGAAGGTTCAGTACTTTAAGTTCTTTTCTGAAGTAATAATGGTCACCAAATGAATATACAATCTGCCTTTTAGGTTCAGCACTTTCATCATACTTTGGTTTCCTCATAATCCGGAGCAAAAGCTTCTTAATTGGACTCCGACATAAGAACCATGAGTCTATTAATGATACCTGGAGGAAGGTTCATTAATTACATTATATGTAATGATAATGTTTAAACGAATTGCCAATTGATATATTACTGAACAATACGAGAAAAAAAGACAAGGTTGATGTGCCTTAGATTTTAATCACCACTTCCCCAACAAAACACATAGACGCACGCACGCACGCCTGCCCACCTGCCCGAGCGTGCAACACACACAGAGTGTACTATATGCATAAGCTACAATTTAGTTGAGGAAAAAATAACTACAGCACAAGGACATCCCCGAACAACATTGAGGACAAGAGACCATGCTCCTCCTATGGGTCCTTCAATGGAAAAAACAAGAAGAGGGGTTACATCACACTTGCATCACACATTGCACGAAACTCTATCTAAACTTACAGAATTCAAGATACTAGTGTTTGATGCAAGCACAAATGGGCATGGGACATACAATGCATCCCAGACGTATAATACCTACAGCTAAAAGCAGAAAGTTGAATAAATGATGAAGATTTATAAAACTACCTATACCTCGTATAGTTGAACATCCTTGGAACCACTAAAAGCATCAAGAAAAGGGGCGCTCCAAGAATTAATCATTCCCTGTCAGGGAAAAAGAAACTAATTTTTGTAGCAACAACAGTAACAGGAAACCATAAATGCAATAACATAACAAGTTTAACGAACAATCTACATTCCATACCAAGAGCCAAACATAATGCATCCATGAAAAAGTACCAATACATGGTACAAAGTTGCCACCTAACTTACATATTACCTTAGATTGAATATTGGAAATGAAAAAAAGACACCACCCTGAGGTCAGTTGAACAGTGTACAAACGCTTGAGATGTGTAAGCACCAAACAAATTTAACATCAATAACGCAGTTCTAGTGGTTCCCCTGCTAAAGGGTTGACTTAAATGCATCTTTTGGCATATAGATCCACAAGTCAGTTGAGATGGATCTTCAGGATTACACTAACAAACAAATCAGCTTACCTAGGATAACGATCAATTGAATTTCCCTCTCCAAACCAAAAAATAAATATAAAAAAATAGTGATCGGTTGTATCTGTCACCTCCCACGTACATCTTATATTCTAAGGTTTACAAAGCAAATTCCAGCTAAGGTGTGCCTCGCCATTATTCGATGGCTTTACAACTATCCAATCACAGACGATAGAAAGATTACCTTCAATTCCTAGACATTGTCTTGCTATCATTATTATTATTGAAGATTTTTGTAAAAAAAAAAAAAAAAAGAAAGTATTACTCTTCATGTTCATAAGAGAATGAATAAATTGCAAAACATAATTCTATCCTTCTAGTTCCCTTTTCTCACATCACAGTCCTACTGGCCTTATTCTCACTGACAGAGAGGTCTTATACATATGTACACAGTAAAGAGTGCATAAGTCTTCTATAAGAATTCCTCAAGGTATTGCAAATAATTCAAGACGGGGTTGTGCATTAGAAAGTATAAAAAATACTACAACAATAACTTAATTGCATACCTGGGAGCTTGCTCGAAATGAAAGGCAAACTAAAGAAGCCTTGGGGGTTTCCAATTTGTTGACTTCAGTGACATTTCCATTCCCATTGGAGCTAACGGGAAGCTTTAATATTTTTCCATCAGAGTAGTTAACTTCTAAGTCAGGAAACTTTACCGCTGCAGTTGCAGGAACTATGGTTTTATTTGCCACAGAAATCTACACACAGAATAGCTTTCTATAAAATCATATCCCATCAGCATGATTTAAAAAAGCATAATGCTTCCTCCAAAAGGCTAATATTGCTATCAGTTAGTCCTACTTACCACCCCAATTCCAAATTTTGAGATAAATCAAAAGGTACTCCTTTCGGCACGACAATGTACCGGGTTGATCATCCCACCCCATAAATGAACTATGGATGCAAAATTACATTTAAAAAAGCACAATGCTTCCTCCAGAAGGCTAATATTGCTATCAGTTAGTACTACTTACCACCCCAATTCCAAATTTTGAGAAAAATCAAACGGTATTCCTTTCGGCACGACAATGTACCGGGTTGATCATCCCACCCCATAAATGAACTATGGATGCAAAATTACATTTAAAAGTAACAAACTTGCACCGGGTTTATCGTAGTGTTTCCTTACCTTCCCACCATGTTTTTCAAGCTCTGACATATCAGCAAAATATCCCCTATTCAACTCATCTGCACTGCCCTAAGTTATAACAGTTCAATGCATTAATATTGATACATTGCCCCCCAAAAAATGAAAAGCAAATAAATTGGTACAAAAACTTACAGCCGGGCACGCTCTTTCTCTATAGCTGCTTTGTTTCCAAGCTGCAAATCAAATGGGGTTCACTAATTTCCATTAACAATACTGGGTTTTGGCTAATTTCGCAATAAATAAATAAATAATTGCACTGTTGAATTGGTGGGAGTAAAATAAGAGATGGGGTACCTTGTAAATGTCGAAGAAACGATTGGAGCTTCTTTGAGCTAAGAAATGCTGGGAAGCTGGAAGAAGATGCTGCTTCTTGCTCTCAATGGGCCTCAAGATTTGGGAAGCAAATATGGAAGCTCGGCTGAATCGGCTCATAATTTCGATCTCACTGGGAAAAACCCTAAATTCAAATTCAAAGATTTGTAGGGTTTTTCCTGTTGTATCAGAATTTGTCACGTTGTGAACTACTTAATTCTCCGAGCGTGTGTGTACCGCAGACGGTGGTGATTTGCAGGGGCTGTGGGCTTTGCAGTGTGCCGAAGCTCACTCAAAATGATGGGCCTCTACTTGTTAAATTGGGCTTTATATATGGATTAGGGATGCTTTTATTTGCACCCATCAATTTGATCCATGCACCAAGTACTTGTTCTCCCTCCACAAGGGATAAAATTTGGCAATATAAAGTATTTTCACGTTTGGAAGAAAAAATAAAAAATGCTATTGGACCATAGAAGTGTTTTTTTTAGAGAAACACTTGTTAAGTACTTTTTGAGGAAGTACTTTTAACAAATCTTTTAATATTTTGCAATTTTAGTAAAATCACTTATGAGTATAATTCTAGAGAAGAAAATCCACTTTTGGTCCTCTATTGGTTGAGCCGGTTAGCAGGGTATTTTCTTTTGGGTTGAAACCCCTTTTGCATTTTTGTTATTTACCATTTTGTACTCGCTGGATAAAGAAATCATTACTCATGCTTCGTTTGTATCGGTAGTTTTTTTTTTTTGTTTATTTCAGCCCTTTTTAGGGCTTGTTGGAAGCTGTTTATATCCGTTTGGACTTTGTTTAATGAATTACTATACCTTTGACAAAAACAAAAACAAAACAAAAAAAAAAAAAAAAAAAAAAATCTCAAACAGTATCTATGTTTTTCTTGTTGGCATGAGTTTACGGTATTGTTGAAACTTGTGGGGGTAAAGTACTGAAGGTCAAGAAAATTATGGCGTTTGTGCAAAATTTACGTTGCATTTGATTTATATTGTTAATCGTCAGCTAATCAATAGATACCGTGGATGGGTCGATATTCTATCAAGGTGCTCAATATCAACATTAGGCTTCATTATCAATATCATTTTGATCCATGTCCTAATTTTGAGCTTACAAATTTGGTTTAGAGCATGAAGTCTGATGTTGATATTTAGCGCCTTGATAGAATATTGACCCATCCATGGTATTTATTATTGGTAGAGCAAAATGATATATGAGTTCGAGCATGGTCAAATGATCAGTAAGAGCTAACTTGAAAGTAACGTGTGTAAGGTATTCAATGATTAATACACAAAATATTGTGGAGATTGAATAGTTTGCATTGGAAACAATTTTTTTTTTAATTTTTTTTAACCAATTGGATGGCATGGTCTTTCTTCGTTGTAATCGTAAGTGTCAGCTGACACACCCTGACTGAAATCAAGGTGTGTTGGCCGTCACGCAAGGGTGACGTAGCCAAGTGCACAGTGCGGAAACAATAATAATATAAGAAATGCGAATAAATAAAAACCAAACTAACTATAGCACTAAATAAGAATAAGTGCAAGACGAAATAAGTGTAAATTCACAACCAGAGCATAAGTAGCCTAAGTGCAGTCCAGCAGGACAAATGCTAATTATACAACACCAAAGGTAATCCTACAATGGTGATAATCTGTCAGAGCTGCCGTGGATTCCTCGCAAGCCACCAAAAATCACTCTTAACTAGAACCTGGAAGGGCGCAAAATAGAAAGTGTGAGTGGGCAAAAACAAAACTTTTCAAAGCCATTTCATTTATCAAAGATTGTAAGCCCTCACCGTAAAACCTGTATAATTTCCCAGAAAAAAATAGAATGCATATCTATATCACAACCATGCTCAGAATAGCAAAATTCACAAATATGCCATGTCGAATATCTCAGCATAAAAATATGTAAGCCAAGTGATATAAATCAATGCAAATGATATGTCAGCTGGAGTCACCTAACGTGACCTGTATGGCTGAATCTAAAGCTCATCCATTTAGCCGGAGTCACCTAACGTGACCTGTACGGCTCAAATCCACATCTCATCAAATATACATGCACACGAGTTGGAACCACCTAAAGTGGTCTGTACGATAGGACTGGGTGTAAATAAATACGCTCAAGTGATATGATCACGTGAAGGCTGTGCGAATAATTATGGGTCACCTACGAGTCAGAACCACCTATAGTGTTATGTACGACAGGATTTTGCACCTAACTTAGATCCAAGGTGAGCGTATGGTGTGGGAGGTGAACATCACGTGAAGGACTGTGCCCTAACTCTGGGCGGGAGCACTAACATCGGGGTGCGGGTTTATGAGCTCTCAACACATCTCACATAATCATCAATTCACATAAACAGTCTACAACTCACCCGGTACTTACCTGAACGTCCACCGCGTCAAATCACAATATGCACATATCATACAAATTCATAGTCTAAGCATAAATCAATAGACATGGCATTTCAAACATAATTTCATTTAAATCGATTTTCCGGAAAAAATCTCAAGTATATAGGTATATACGGGAAACCAAAAGCCCACTCATTGGTATGTGGAAGGGTTGTAGCCCCCAAACCTTGATTGACTGTGCTTGTCCTGAGGATAGGTCTCACCTATATGCAAAACAACTATATAAATGTTAATTTAAAGCACATAAACGAAACTAGCTAATAACTTCTCATACATTACTCAAATGAGGTGTTTTAATATACCAACGTGATCTACTCAAGACCACAAACATCCCCATATTTTTAGAAAAATTTTCCGACCACCCACGCCCTGGCCAAGGCACGACCAACCCTAACGGAACAGTTAACGACAGTTAGGAATATTCTGTTAAAACCTTAACAGAAGTTAATGGCGTTACCTGACACCGTTAGAATATTCCGTCAACTCTGACGGAATATTCATCTCCTTCTCCGGTTAGCCTCGCTGATTGCCGTCTGAAACTCCAATTTTCGCCGGTTTCTGGAAAAACTTAAAAACTTCATATCTTTCTCATTTCTTAACCAAAATGAATGAAATTTGTCTCAAAATGAAGCTTAGAGTGAGTAGAACACAACCTTACCACTTTTAGGACTGAAATCCAATGGGATCTTGCCGGAAAACCTCGAACACTCCGGTAACTTCTACAACTCGATGAACTCGAGCTTCTCGACGTCCAAAACACTTCAAAATTACTCCCTGAGCTTCGTGAAGACTCCCTAAAAATCCCTAGAATCTTAAAACTCGAAGAAAAGTCCATGATCACGATTGCATGAATAGTAACCCAAAACTGGGTTCTCGGGTTTTCGAAGGATTCACATTCTTAAAATAGTATGGATGTGTTCCTAAGCTCACAAGGAACACGAAGATGGCTTCCAAAACCTTGATCCATGAATGCTCAAGTGGTTTGAGAAGTTGTTCGTACAATTGTACGGAAATGGAAAGGAATCCGAGAGGGAAGGAGAGAGAGAGGGTTAACGGGTAAGGGTATGGGTGTGTGTGGTCTAGATGGCAACCAACCAAAACAAAAGAAAATAAAACCTAAGTCCTAAGTAGTTCCAAAAGTATAGGAAAGTTAGGAATTGGACCACAACCAAAACATATCACCCACGACACCAACAATCGTCCAAAGGCAATTTCGTCATTCCACGCTAGCAAAGATAAAATAGATTATGTTTCAGGACAGGTTGTCACATCAGCCATGTTAGAGACACAGTTGGTTGGTACGAGGAAAATTGACATGCATGATGAGTTATTTTTTAGTGTGACCGGAATACGAGATAGTACATTATGTGTTATTATACAAATGATGGGATGTGTGTGTTAAAAAATTAATAAATTAAAAAATAAAATTTCACACCACTTATATAAAAATACGCTATGTACTACCCACATTCTGGTCACAATAAAAAATTTCTCATGCCTGAGACATTGAGTAATACTTTTTCAGCATTCATGGCTTTGGTGTTTGAAACCTTTTGGTTTTGAAGCCGTAAGGAATGAGGTTTTAATCTCAATGGATATTTCAACAGGGTAGTGATATTCACACCAATTTTTACTTTTTATACATTTTTTGGCCGTCGGATCGAATGAATTAAAAAAGATCAATGACAAAAAATTAACAAAATATGTGAGAGGTAAAATAGGGTGCATGATTAACACTTACCTTTCAATTTAAGACGAAAACAGTGAAGCCTTACATAATGAAGTTTGAAATGGATTTGCAGCCATAAGATATGTGAAGCTTCGTCAAAAATATATATTTTCGGTGGGCAATGCTTCTTGTACAAGCCCCTATCCGAAGTCGAAAGTCGAGGTATACAGTTCACCTTGGCTTTGGCTAAGCATCACCCAACAAGTTGTTTGATGAATCGTAGCACCTTGTCAATGTATGATTCTCGCGCAACTATTAGAATCTTGTCAGATTTTTGTCAATCATAGCGCTAATTGTGAATATTATCCCGTGAAAGTACTTGTCAATAATCAATTTCCGGAAAAAACGAAACGAACGGAAAATATTGAACCGATTACAAAACCTTCAGAGCTACAAGGGCTTCTATGCATCACCAGAACCCTAGCCGTAGATCCAGTAGTAGAACCTCCATCTGAGTACTCGCCTTCAGTGTAGTATCTTGCATGGAAGGCAGCCAAGTGAGCATAGTACGTAGGAGGAACTGCATGAAAAAACACAAACATCAGTGGTATGACCAGGAAAAAGTATAATTTTAGAAAACAGATGTATGAATCCAACTCAAGTGCATACCAATAGAAACTAAGCGAGTGCACCTTGCATACCTGAAAAACATACGATTAGAAAGTCAGCAAACAATATGTTATCTTCAAATTGGAATCGTACAAATGGAAAAGCTAGAGTAAGAATTGAAATTATTGTCTGTTTACGTGTAGCATAGGTTTTTCATTAGCATCTGCAGTCCATCTGTGGTGAATTTGTTCTCATCGTACAAGATATGGTAATGCGCAGGCCTACTAGTTCCCTACGTAGCAAAGAAGATAACAATTCAAATTATAGCACATCATAATATTTCATATTTAAAAGTGAACAGAACACAAATACATTTGTGTACACCTGAATATATAAATCAACAACGCATATAGTACACCTGAATGCTAGCATGATTGTTGAGATAGAAGTCAAACTTCGTTGGATGACAAGTCTGGGTGTCAACGATAGTGCCTAGACAAGATAAAGAGATTTAAAGTGCAAACCAAAAAAGCATCAAATTTAATAAATCTTAGATTCTCAATGCATATAAAATTGAAACCTGCTTGAATATTGCCACTCTTATCAGTCCTCCGATTATCAGTAGGAAACAGGTGAGTATGATGCCATTTCTGCACCACAACAAAAGTAATTGGTGGCAAATCCACCGCCTTGGTTAATCTAGCGCACATGATTGCCTCTAACAGAGTAACGCGGAGGGTGGGGTCGGGCGTGAGTTCTTCTGTGGGATCTAGGTGAGTTCTTCTGGGCGTCGGGATTTAGGTGTGAGTTCTTCTGTATCTTGGCAAGGTGCTGTAGAAAACCCAAATTGGTGAACATGGTGCGGCTCTGCATGCAAGCCCAATACAAATCCATATACAGCCTTTCGTCAATAATCACCACGCAAAACGCCGCGTATTGCTTGGTGGTCTCCAAATGGGCGGCAAAGATCCAGGTCTAGGCCTAGGGCTCCAGATCGTGGTGGATCCAATGGAAGAACTCGGGGCATTTCTGGGCATTCGAGCGGGACGACGGAGGACATGGTCGTTCAGGGACTTCGTTACTTTTGTAGTAGCAGGCGAGGTAGGAGCAGTGGATGAGTTTGTACGCTCGGTCGCTGAGGGTCTCGTCGGTGCAGGTTTTTGGCGGGAAGAAGTGCCACGACGTCGGCTCAAGGTTGTGGCCGGCCAATGTCTTGATTTGGGTGTGAGTTCTTCTGTGGGATACGATGACCAACACGTCCCAACTTGCTAGGATTTCGTGTTGAATGTGGCGGCGAAGTCGGGGTTAGGATTTGTGGATATTTCGATTTGGAGGTCAGGGGCGGAGGGTGCGGCAGTTGCGGCGGGAATAGGGTTTTGGGGATTTGGGGGCGCAGGGTTTGAAGAGAGGGAAGTCGACGGCATGGATCGGTTGGGGGAGGCGAACAGAGTGGAGGAGAGGGGTGGGGGGTTGTAGGGAAGGAATGGGTTTCTGTGTTTTTGTTTTTTTTTTTTAATAAACTTTTCTTTAATTAATTCTTGTTTAATGTATAAAAAATATTTTTTTGCCATGTGGCATAAATGTGGCTGCCACGTTAGTTCTTAACGGACCAATGGATGAAAAATTTAACGAATGTATTATATTGAAATAAAATAGTATTTGAGGTATGAAAGTGAAATGTTTTAAAGATGTTGTAAGGAATTGAAATTGACCCCAAACCTGAGGTGGTAAAATGTAATTTACCCTATATTTATTAATGTTAGATGAATTTAAATTTAAAATTTAAGTACATATTTCAAAATTAGATTAATTAAACAATGACAAATAGAGTGATGTATATCACCATTATTTGAGAATGGTGAGTAAAAATATTTTCAAATAGAAATATTAAAGAGTTTATCTTAGATAATATTTTGTAAATTTTATGGTAAGACCATTGATGATTGTATTACTTTATAATTTTTAAATAGAAAATTCAATTACCAATCGACACGATATGTGACCTACAAAATATAATTAAAAATATGATTTCTAAAATCACACTAAACCAAAATGAAAAGGTCAGGTCTAGTGTCTTTTGTTTACTTTGGAACGAAGCTTTCCGTCAAGCAACGCGTTTATGTTTATTTACGAACATAATTAAGATTAGTAAATAACCAAAATAAATTAAAGATTATTAACTTTGGAGAGAATAAAGATAAAATGAGAGTACTAACGGTAGTTTTCTTTGTAAATACAAATATTAGGATATCTCTAGCCAATGCCCAAATATGTGCAAAGTACGTCTATGGCTAAAAGGGCTGCATCCTAGTTCGGTAGGTAGGACTAGCTACAAGTAGTCCTCGGGTTCGCTACTTGTAGCCCTTGAGCGGGTTACATTTAGCCCTTTGACAAAATTTTTGTGGAGCGTACATGGACTTCTAATTTTTTTATGAGAATTTTAACGAAAAGCTTTCAGTACTTTTCACTTTAACGAAAAATTACATTTTTACACTAAAAAGTCAATCTTGGTACCATTCATTTTACCCTTTATTTTGTCATTATTGTTAAAACTCAAAATTTTCAAACCTTTTTCATTAGTTTTTATTTTTTATTCTCACCTTTTACGGTTAGAGAGGGAAAAAATATAGCCAAGATTTCACAGTACAAAAACTATATTTTAGAGTGCCAAAACATGGGTCTCCACTAGGGACGGAGCTAGAAATTTCTTTTAGTGGGGGCAACCTGAAAATCAATTAAGAAAACCTTATTATAGTATGGCTTATAACCAATATGCAAATAGGGATGATTTCAAATGATAATGTATCACAATTCCAATGTTACAAAAATTTCGGTTTAGCAGTGGAAAGTGACAAAGTGATAAGAAATATATTAATACATAATTACGCAAGAGTGGGGTTTTTCGATTTGAATGACAGAACAAAAGCACTTCTGCTCATATAATATTTGATATGGAGTATAAGGAGTACGAAAGTATGCTGAATACTAGGTACATATATTTTCTTCAAAAATAAGACGTGTGTATTCTATAATTGTAGTCTATGACTTAACAAACGAATCACTTGAGTGGAGGCATATGCCCCCTGTGAGCCTTCATTGGCTCCGTCCTTGGTCTCCACTCTTTGGCCTTTCAACTGTTGGCTTTGTCTTTGGCAACATCTTATGCAAGTATTTATAAGAATAGTATTTGGTATTCAAATATAAATCAATCAATGCTAAGACCATGTTTGAGGTGCTCAGGTTGCAACCCCTTGGTAAACTACACGAGTTAAAATCGAAAATTTCAAGCTTTACAAACTAAAGAACTGAACCATAACACGTTCTCATTTTTATTGTTACAACGAAAACTCTTCACGTAACCTTAATCCCGACACATGACGAAGTTATTATGACAAAATCACTGCCAACTTCGATTTCTAAGTTGAACTAAAGCGTCCCCCGACCCTTCAAAAAGGTTTCAGCTAAAGAAGTCAAATGCACTGGAATGCCAAATGTACATTTCAAAACTAAACACGAAATACAGTAATGTGGCATTATGAGTTAAATTGCTCGAGTCTAGCATCTTTGAATTATGAGCTCGTATCACCTGAAGATGTATATGTCAAGGGATGAGCTTCCACCGCCTTATTTCTCTTCCAAAAGCAGTTTCGTGCATGAAAGAAGGGATGACGATTCCTCTTCCGTAGCCAATCCAGTGCCTTGCCATCTTATTCTACCAAATTTATCGAGCAGGAATATATACCTATTCAGTGGAAACATTAATGATGAGTCGATTTCATATTATATATTTTACCTCATTCTTAGTATATTTTGGTAATTATTTTGGTAAAATTTTGATACTTTGCTCGACTTCCTTTGGAGCAAAACATGATCAAACGGACGAATTTTGGAGAGTTTCAAATTGGAGGACATTCGTGTGTCTCTTGGCGTATCAAAATTTCAGAAATTTCTACCAAGCGGTTATTTTCTGGCGATTAAATAAAGGAGCAGTGCGTGTTGTTGGAAAGTGACATATTTGGGCTTTAGTGCAGTTGTTGGAGCCCAAGATGATCTCAAATGGGTTCGTGGCCTTCTGAAGAAGTGTTCAAAATAGTCCAAGCTTTGAATCCAGTTATTTTGGTCCCATTTTGGAGCTGTTATGGGTCCAAAACGTGACTGTGAAGGATTTTGGGCGAATTTCAAAGTTAATTTAGGATTATGTTTCCTAATTTATTTCAATTTGTTTGGTTTCCTAGACCTTTTACTAGGAGGATTTAAAAAGAGTAGTATAAATAAGCCTTTTTGGCCGGTCCTAGGGTTTTCTTCTTTATGCAATTCATTATTTATTTATTTATTTTTATGTGGGATCCCAAAAGGATCACCAACGAAAAACTTTTATTAAAACAAATACACACTTACAAGCCAAACAAAGGCCAAATTTATTCCTAGAAACAAACAAAGAACGGGCCTAAAAACAAAGAAAACACAGAAAAAGATCCCAAGAACAGTGAAGCCCAAACAAAAACGAACAATCGAGAACCATCCACTGTGGTTGTCATTGCCGATCCGAGAATCAGCCAGCCACCCGATCCTCCGTCCGCCACAGATCATTCCCTCCACAGGCGCCACTTGCACACAGCCATCAACAAGGGACAGTCGGCGAGAAAGAAGCCAACCATCAGAAAGAAGCTCCAGGAAATTCCCAAGCAACACCGTCGGAAACGGCAGACAACAACGAGAACGTGGTGGTGTGGGAGACACCCGAGCTGGATACAACTCCAGAACTCTACACACGAACTCAGTAGAAAACATGGCTAAAAAACGAAGCAAGGAAGGGCCATGAAAAGGGATACCCACCGGGGTTGAAGAATTGGGAAAGCCATAAAGGAAAATTGGAAAAACCAGCAGCAGATGGAAGGGGAGAAGAAAGAAAAAAACAAAAACAAAAACAAAAAGCTACCCACCGATCCTAGCCGTAGCTAGGACCAATAGTAGCAAAGGGAAGTATGATCACGATCGGGATCACTCACACAAGAAGGTGAGAAGCACCCTCAAATAGAGGGATGATCCTGAAACCCAGAGAGGGTTCTGGAAGGAACTCATCCTTCTTTATGCAATTCTCGGAGAGAAGATTTTGGGGGCAAAGCTTAGTGATTTCAAGACTTATACTTTCAAGGTGTTTTCATTCTTTTTCTATTTCGATAAGGACTTTGTGATTTCTATTATGAATATGCGTAACTAATCCTCTTTTTGCTAGGATGAGGCCATGATCCTTAGCAAAAATATGTAGTCTCTTTTTAATTTGCCTATGAATTTATGCATGCAAGTTTTGAATTGTTAATCACCGGTTTAAACTATCTATTTGTTTAAACTATCTATTTGTCTTAGTGATTTGCGACTATTAGGATATTTAGAAAAGTAATTTGATGCAATTTTGGCGGATGGCTGTCCCTAAAATTGACCAAGGCTTTTTGTGGTTAATATGTGTAACTTCTTAGGATGGACGCACGTCTTAAGGGTTATATGGTTTTTCAAAAGGTTTTTACAAAATTTAATGAGTCTTGCATGTTCACATTCGATCTGGACACCACGGATGGGTTGCATGTTAGATATATGTTCTATGTTGGAGGTTTCAAGTAGGATATATTTTAGGAAAACCTAACCTTCAAAATATGCATGTGTAATTCATAATTAATTAGAACAGCTACATAAGATTGTTAGGGTGATGGTGGAACCCTAGTACTTTCTCAACTTGAATTCTAAAAATTGTTTCCTTTTCCCTTCTTTAAAATTGCAGATTTTAGTTAACCTTTTTAATTAAATTCGTTTGTCTTAATTTAGGTCATCAAGTCACCATTCTCCAAAACTTTGGTCAAATTAATTTGTTGGGAATTGATTTCACGTTAATCTATTTAAATTAATCCCTGTGGAAAACGATCTTACTTGAGCCAACTACACTACAATAACCTTGTTTCTTTTGTAAGTATTTTATGTATTTTAAACTCTTTTTGTGCAGGTGGTAAAAATCCTATCAATTAACAAGATGCAACTTGTCAAAAAAAAAAAAATTATACTTTCCCCAAAACAATTTCTGTTTATCAGCTGTTTTGAGTGAAACAGAGAAACGGTGCTTGTGGTCACTTTGGTCATGAATCAGATCAGCCAAGTGCAGAAACTATTTCTCGTTGAACCAGATCATGAATCGTGACTAATGCACAGGAAGTAAGTCCCCTATACTATACTTTCACAAAAACAATTACAGTCCTGATGAGATTGAGATCCCTCTATGCAGGCCATTCAACCATATCATTAAATCGTCAGGTAAGACCATTTAAGAAACAAAGAAAAGAATCCATCGTTAGTAGTGGAAATTGGCAGGAAAAGAAATACCTCTAAATCTCCGTGCAAAGAAGCGATGACCTGAACACATAAACGAGCAATTGTTCTTATTTTAAACTCAACACAATAAGAATAAAAGAGAAAAGTATCTTGTTGATAATAATATATACAAATCATTGCCTATAAATTGCAGAGAAAATAACCAAAATGTGTAGGCTCATTGACTCCATTGTAAAACGAGATATACATTCATACGCACCTGAATAAAAAGCCTATGAAGGCGTTCTTGCTCGGCGATTGTAAAATTCGGAAATGCTTGGTAGAATTCTTTAAGTGTTAAATTCATCATACAAAACAAAGCCAGACAAATTACAAATTCGCGAGGATGAAATGCATAAACTCAAAAGAAGCACAGAATTAAAATGAAAATCGCAGACGCAACGCAGCATAAATCATTGTAAAGAAGATGAAATTGTAAAGAGAAAAAGAGGCCTGCTTAAAACAGGAAGTGAGCAGAGAACGTATGGCCAACTTAAGGGCTTTCTTCATGTCCAATTCCTTCGTCCCCATCGCAATTGCACACACAAAAGATTTCTGATTTTCGATACACGGAATAGGCGAGGTTAAAACCCTAAATCCACACAAATTACGAACCATGAATAATTCAATTTCACCACAAATATGTTTTAACAGCAAATTAAAGCAGACATAAATGGCAAGGAAAACAAGGTTTCACAAAGTTGCAAAGAGAGTGAGACTGGGAAATGTAGACCTGCAGCAGAATTTGAAGTGGCTTCCTGTGAATTGTGATGTGGCCGTATGTGCTTCGAGAGCTGCCGTCTGCGTAGTGGCTTCGGGGAGGAGATGACGTTTTCTCAGCGCGCGGAATCTGAAGAGATTGAGTTGAGGGGGGAATACTTCAATTGTCATTTTAAATTTTTAAGGAAGGAAAGGATTTGCAAGAAAAACTTTTGTTTGCAAATAACTACAAAATAAAAAGGCTAATTTTTCTATTTGACCCTGAAATGGCCCTTTAATCTCACTTTACTCCATGAAGCTTGATTTGTCTAACTTTACCCTGTGAAACTGTCAAAATCAAATAATTTCACCTTATTTATGTCAGTATTGGCCAAGATCTGGCAGTTGTAGAGGTTTATGGTAGTATGAAAATTTCATACCTCATCAATTACAGTGGCTCATCTCTGCCAGCATAGTATGAATTGTCCAGACTGCCCATTCATTTAATGTCCGTGAGACATAATTGACGAAAATAAGGTGAAATTAATTTAACAAAAAAAAAAAAAAGTGAAATGACTCCATTTTGGTAGTTTCAGGGAGTAAAATGAGACAAATTCAATTTCAGAGGGTAAAATAAAACAAAAAGACAATTTCAGGAGGCAAATTAATAAATAAGTCAAATTAAAAAGGTGAGTAGGTCGCATATTGATTTTTCTTATGATTATATTTGAATTTTCATGTATGTGTTAACATGAGAAATTTTTATGTGAAGTTGAACACTTATAACCAAGAAGGTGTTATAATTTGGGTGAAGTAATAACACTATGCCTCCCCTCAATACCATTATTGAAACTTCACTTTTTTTTAGTACAATGGTATATTTTACACTAAAGGGGAGAAGGGAGTTTGACTAAGCCACACAATAGGCAACCTAATTTGGTTTCGAATTCACCATCTATGAGATTTGAACCTAAGACCTCTCACTTGCAAGTGAAAAGGAATGCCACCAGACCGTAGTACTGAATGACTTATTGAAAATCCTACTTAAATTCAAGGATAAATTAGGTAGTATCCCTTGTTTTTATTCTCATTAATTGAAACTTTATTCTTTTTTCATTTTTGATTAAGGTCCCTTAACTTTTCTCCTTGTCATTATTAGAATATTAAATTATTTACAAGTTATCATTTGTAAATTTAGAAAATGAAAAACTTATTAATCATTTCCAAATATATGTTTTTTGTGACATCCCGTCCCGGAAATATCGAAACGTACATTTGAAATTTCAAATTTTACCCCTAGTTCGTTACATTTACGTGTAGTGTTGTGTTGTGTAGTGTTGTAGGACCACACACACTCACACACTCTCTTTCTCTCCCGTGTTTTCCTCTCCCTCTGTCTCTTTTCTGTCTCTTCTCTCTCTCTCTCCCAAGCTCCGTTCTTCCTTCTTCTTTCTTCAAAAACGTACGGACGACACACAAATCACCCAAACCTTGATGGATCGAAGGAACCAAGGGCATTTTTGGACTCGTGAAGCTCGTACGAGTACAACCATACCATTTTCAGGTGAGAAATCCTTCGTTTTCGCGTCGATTCGAGGTAATCCGTTTTGAACACTGTTCATGCGAATTTAATCTAGCTTGTTTTTGGGATTTTGAAGCTCATAGATGTCTTAGTGAGGTCCCAAGGAGCCTCGGAGTACTTCGTTGGAGAAGTTTGGACGTCGGGATCATCGTGGTCAAAGTTGGCCGGAGCTTTCGAGGGGTTTTCCGGCGAAACCACGGCGAGTTAGGGGTCAAGGCAGGTATGGATGTGTTCGTCTCGTCAATACCTTCATTTTGATATATAGTACGTCGAAAATGGTTAAGAAATGAAGAAGTTATGACACTTTGAAATTTACCCAGAAATTCCGGCAAAACACTATTTCCGGCGAAACCAGTCCGGCGACGCGAGGAAGAAGACGCGCGCGTGGGCAGCGCGTGAACAGGGCGCGTGGGGGCGCGTGACAGCTCCAAATTGAGTTCTAAAAATTGTCACGCGTTCGTGACGTCGTGTAGATCACCGTGGTATATTCATACACCCAAATTGAGCAACGTATGAGAAAGTTATGGACGAATGTTTGGTGTATGCGCGTTAAATAACGTCAATTTGGTTACTTTTTGTATAGGTGAAAATTATACAGAGGAAGAATGTAACCAAGCTAGGGGAGGCTCAGGGACCTATGAGACGTCGATGTGATCAGTGAGTGGGCAGTTATTTTTCAGTATATATATATACACGTATGCTTGACGTATTTCCCAGAAACGTATTTTAAAAGAAATACGAATTAATTATCCTGTCATATATGCATCATATTTGAATATGTGCATTACTATAATTATGCATACTGTTGCATGGTGCTGAGGAGGCCCAGGTAAGCTACGATTGAAATACTATCATCACATGCATTAGTAGTGGCATACATTTACATATGTGTATTGGTGCTATGGACGCACAGGTAAGTGCCAGGTAAGTGGTATTCATGTTGTTATGCAGTAGTAGTTTGAGAGGATTAGAGAACTCATAATCTGCACCCCCGGTGTTAGTGCTCCCGTCCAGGGCCAGGGCACAGCCTTCACGTGTATGTTCACCAGCACCGCATGCTCGTCTTGGATCCAAGTTAGGTGCAAGCCTGTCGTAGAGATCACATTAGGTGGTTCCGACTTGTAGGTGACCCGCGATTTATCGCCAGCTTCACGTGATCGTAGCACTAGAGCATACATATATATATTACACCCAGCTTGTCGTGCAGACCACGTTAGGTGGTTCCGACTCGTGTGCAGATTCAGTGATTGAGTTGAGCGTGGAGCTCTAGGTGCAGCGGTACATGTCACGTTAGGTGACTCCCGGCTGCCAAATTATATATTGTGATGTGATTTACGCTTGAGCATTTACATTTATTATGAGATTCTATTGTGGCATATTCTCAAGCATGAATGGCATATTGTGAGCATGAATGGCATATCATGGAACATGATTGACATATCTATACATACGCATATATGTTTATTTTCTGGGAAATTATACTTGTTTTACGGCGAGGGGTTACAAAGTTTTGAGAAGTGTTTGGAATTGGAAAAGAATTGTTTTACTGACCCACTCAACTTTGTTTTGCGCCCCTCCAGGTTCAAGAATTTTAAAGGTGTGGTGACTACGAGGAAATTCAACGGTGTTCTGACAGAGTAGACCAAATAAGGACTCACCTTCGGGTGTTTCATTTTAGAAGTTGTATATTTTAAAGCTTCCGAACTGTGCAAATGGTTACGTCACTCTCACGTGATGGCCAGCATGCCCTCCTTCGGGACGGGGTGTGTCAGTTGGTATCAGAGCCTAAGTTTCAATCTTGGACATCTTGAGAAGTTCTAGTGAATTCTGTCAGAACTACACCGCCTCGTAGCAAACCACGTAGTTAGAGGAACTTAGTCTCCCTGATTTAGCTGTTGGGGGAAATTATTATTTTGGTGATTCAGTATATTATCAAAAAGGGACATTTTAAGATGGGTTATGAGTTGAATTTGAATCACCTTATGAAATGATGAACCTGAGGGAGCAAAGTGATGGATTAACCAATTGGAAAAGATGTTTTAGATTATGCAAGTCAAAGGAATCTTCCTTTTGACAGAAGAGTTGAGACGACTACCTGGTTTGAGTTATGAACTTGTATCCTGGTGGAAACAGGAGTATAATTCGTTGTCACCGAAGGAAACAGCCGATTGAGAATTGTTTAAGGACTTGTTTAAAGAAAAGAATTATTTCCTTTGGCATCTTATGATGGTAGAAAGCAAGAGTTTGCAAATGTGAGACAAGGAAAGCTGACGATCAATGAGTATTATAGAAAGTTCTCAGACTTGTCTCGTCCCATTTGAATATTGCTGCTATTTTGATTGAAGTGTTATATTGTTTTAGGCTGGGTGGCATAAGGCAATGGTATTTTGGGTGACCACTATCCATTGTAATTCTTATCAGGAGTATACAAGATGTTGTTGAGCCTTAAGGACTCTAAGAACATGTTCAGCGAGAGTAAAGAAGAATGATAAAAGAATGGGAATCAAAAGAGGACGATAAAGTTAATGATTCGTCATATCAAGAATATAGAAAGATTCGGAACTTCAAAAGAAGTGAAGCTAATTCTAGTTCTTTTGGCAAAGGTTTTAATGCCATTGATCAGAGGTGAAGTGATAGATGTATTGGTAATCTCAGATCTCAGAGACAAGGTGATTTTGGTAAAGGAAATGTACCTTTGGGCTGTAGGTACAATAATGGACACCTTTGAGAATGTAGGCGAGGAAGCAGTGGACGCTTTACAAGTGGATAGATGGGACATAGAACTGCAAATTATGTCCAAAGCCAACAGAAGCCCTAGCAGTTTTCTTTGCCACAACTGGCGCCGATCCAGCAAGTTCCTGGATCTATTAATTATGGTCAGTTATGTCGTGGTGTACATGAAAGAAGTATTTACACTAATAGAGGTTGTGGGAGACAACAACAAGCCCAGGGATGTGTTAACCACACATCACTGCAAGAGACTCAGAATTATTTGGATTTGATTAGGGGTACGATAATTATTCTTAATGACTTAGCTAGAGTCTATTTGTTAATAATGTAGAAATTTTACGTTATTATTGTTATTGCCTAGAAAGTAGTATTTAAACGCGGTTGAGACGTGTGTATGTATTTCCTTGGCAAAATAGTAATATTACACACTCGAGAGTTGTTGCTTACTTATCGAGACAACGATGATTTATCAGTATTGCGGGCTGCAGACCGTAATATTAATAACTTATTCGTGGATTCGTTAAGCAAGTAAACCGGTAGGTTATCCTATGTTAGTATCGTACTTATTCAGAGTGCTCAGTAATAGTAGAGTATGTATTGTTGCTAGCTACTTTTGTTCCATTAGATTGTAGATCTCAAGGTTATTCTAGAGCATATTATGTTATATACATAATATGATGAGTTGGTTATGAGCCATATATGCAGCCGAGGGCTGAGTTGATTAGAATGAAAGAGTATGAGCTATGTTTATAGCCGAATGTTGAATGGATTATATGTTATTTTCCATCGGTCTGGATGACTAGAGATTACTTTTGTAAGTATGCAAAGTGGAGTGAGGCAGACCGTTAATTATGCTGTGAGAGCAAAGAGATTATTATCAAAAGGCTGCCAAGGATACTTATCTCATGTGGTGCTAAAAGATGTCACTTCTAGTAGCGTGGAAGAAGTGGGAGTAGTCAAACATTTACCTGACGTTTTCCCTGAGAATTTACCTGGATGGCTACCAGTTAAAGATGTAG